TTTTTTTTTTGATAATAAAGAAATTATGCACTACTAATGCGTACCGAGAGACACTACAATCAATGCACAATGCACAATATTACCAGATGTCCTTGGTAGACGTCGAGTGAGGCCACAACTTTGGAAAGAAAAGAATTGAATTCTCCACCATGACAATGCACGCGTCGATCGTGGCTTTTAGCACGGTTCAACATTACAACCCTTAATCATCCGCCCTGTCTTCCCCGGATCTTGCTCCACGTGACTTCTTTTCATTGCCCAAAATAAAAAATATCATGCGAGGGAAGGGGAGTGGGGAGAGGGAGCAACGACGAGGATGATAAAAAGGAAGATAAATTTCAATTGAAGAGCTACTGCAGCACTGAAATTGTCTCGCCCAATGGAAAAGTCGCTGAAATATAAGTATATACATTCGCGAGAGCAGTACCTTGAAGGTGGCATCGTAAACTTGGACTTTTATAAACATAAATTCCGCGAAACTTTTTGAGCGTGCCGCGTATTACACATGCGAGATAGATTTGAGCTTCTTTATATTTTATGAATATAAAATTCTACATCGAGCTTACAAATTCGGTTCGATTCGTCGATCGTTACATTCACCCTTGTGCAAATGATATTAATTTAACGTTCGGATTATTCGAGCCGACTTTAGGACTTGTTGTTTCTGCAATTATTAAAGGGGCACACAAGTGCTTTTAGTGATATTAGCGACATTAGTACTCATTTCCCTGGTATTAAATTTCATGCACGATTAGTGAAATGCAGACTAAGAAGAGACCAGTTTGTTTCAGTATTTATGGATAAACTGTTATGTCACATAAGTTTATTATCACAGATAAGGTAGGAGAACGTTAGAAAATATATTGAAGTAATTTTTCAAAGTGACAGCTCTCCAGAGTTGTACGAATCGCAATGTTACTTTAATTGAAACCTAAAGGAACGAAATATATTTCTAATGAAGTTTATGATGCAAGGATGAATTTATCGCGATGTCGTGATAATTTCAACACAGTTGTCAAATCAATTAAATTAATTTAGATCAATTTAAATTAATTCAAACTAATGCTAAGCGTGATCGCTAGCTATTAAGAAATTATGTAGAGAAAACAACGGAAGAATATTTTCGTAATTAGTAAAAAAAGTTCTCTGTAATACTAGTAGTGATTATTGTCATTATCATTGCTGTAATGGATGTTAAAATGAATTATACACATTTAACAATGTGTATGAAATTTTTTTCCTTAAAATTTAAAGCGTTTAAGACGCTTCTTGTGTGTTCATATTCCATGAAATTTTATAAGATTAAATTTAAAATATTTATTAAACAAATTATTAATAATTCCTCGTGTCTTCAGAAACAACAGCTAACAGATATTCAAGGTGATCAACTCACGTGATCCACCGTATATAATATTACAACACACCACTTGACACGAATGAATATTTCATTCATTTTTCTTACTTACTTTACTACAGCAAGCTCGCGAAATTATCCACTTTAAAAAAAAACTTCGATAAAAGCAGATATACATAGAATAAAATGCATCATTTCTCGATATTAAATTACATCCGAATAAAATACAATTCGCGAATGAAACGAAATAGAAAGAAGATTACAAACGAATATGTCACTGATCACGCTTTTAATAATTAATGCACTGAATAATTTGCCTGGAATTTCTTACGAAATTGACCTTCATCGTTGTTCTCACGATATAAGAAATAAGAAACATATTAATCAGCATAATTAATGTGCCTCTTCTACATCTAGCTCCAACAAAAGATGACATATATCGTAGCAAGCATACGCTCAAGGAACTGCTCGTTCATATCGGAACGTGCATCCGAACGTGAAAAGAAAGATCGTATCTGAAAAGCGAGCAGAGGGTAAATATCGGTGAAAGAAACAGAAAAGGGTAGAAACAGGAAATGAACGGCAGAAAAAAAACGCGGAAACTGGTACATTCGTTCGTAATCAAGCGACTAGAACCTTTT